GTTAGGAGAGAAAAAAGACACAGACAAATACAGAAACCCCAGAAGGAGAAGGAAGAAAAAAAAGAAACAAAAACCAGGGAAAAGGTTACATATATTCAAATAGTTTTATAAAAAGTTTTTAAAAAGAGTGAAGAAAGTTTGAAGCTGTTCTGCYCCACGCATTGATGACTCATGTCAAACATTTGTTCTACAATTTGAAAACAACAAAAAACAAAGATTCATAAAAAATTTCTTCAGAGTCCTGTTTTTGGACATTTTCTATTAAAACTGTTCAAAACATGGTAGAATTTTTACAAATTTAACAATTTATGAATRTAAAGAAGAGATCATCAAGAAGGCTCAGCAGAGGCTACACTTCCTGAGAGTCCTTAGGAAGCACAACTTCAACCCCAACTTGGTGCTGACCTTCTACAGATCATCAGTGGAGAGCCTGCTGATATACTGTTTCTCAGTATGGTACGGCAGCTGAACCCTGGTGAACAGGGAGAGGCTCCAGAGAATAGCCAAGACAGCTCAGAAGATCATTGACTGTCCTCTCCCCTCCCTCTCGGACATTTACTCATCACGCTGCCTCAGCAGGCTCAGATCACCAAGGACAGCTCCCACCCAGGCTCTGAACTGTTTGACTTGTTGCCCTGAGGAAAGTGCTACAGGTGCATCAGAACAAAAACAAACAGATTCAAGAACAGCTTTTTCCCGAAAACCATCACCTTACTGAACTCTCGCATGCACTGACTCTTGATTTAAAATCAGYGAGGAACTCACCTACTATGAAATWAATACATCTGTGGGACACATGTCACTTTATTTTGTTAATGATCACCTGCAATACCAGCATGATCCATATACCTCAATATACAAAATAAGCAATATTTAAATAATGTGCAGTATTGTCGTTTAACTTTCTTCTACTTTAGTTTCACATTTACAACCAACTCTCATTGTACTTTTTATTTGCTTTTTATTGTTTTTTATGATGTATATATGTAGGTAGGTATATGGTATATGCATAAAC